TTAGCACACTTTTCCTGCGCCCTACCTACCACCCCGGTCAACAAACGACTTACACGAAGGAACGGGAAAATTCAAAAGGGGAAATTCACAAGAGAAGGAGTCATCGCAGTCGCAAAAGGTCTCCGTTTGTTCATTTCCCATACCCCTCCACTCTACGATCTCGACTTCAATCAACCCGAGATCCCAAAACACTTGGCTTTCTCTTAAAGCCAACTTCGCCTCTTCCACGCCTGTTGCGAACGAGCAAACGAAAAGGGACGACATCATCAGCTCTCCCACACCCCGCACCATACTACCATCCATCGCTTTGGTCGCTTTTATCCCATCTTTCTTCCTCTCAGCGCGCACAGCGGAAGTAGATCCCGTCCACCACCACCGCAACCCAGCCCAAACTTGTTTCGTTCTTGGCTATTCGACGCCATAAAGAAAGAAAAACCAAAACGGGCAAAGGACAGAACGAGAATCAGACCTTGTGCTCCTACCACCCACATCACCTGGACCTTTCTTGCAAAGATTCGAGAATAGCAAGAGAAAAAAAGTCATCGCGCTCCACACTCCCTCTCTTCTCTCATTTTCCAAGTCTCTGTCCAAGTACAAAGAGAAAAGGGCCCCCGGACACATCATCGTCTAGACTGCCCATCAGACCCATACCACACATCACTCATCAGTCAGTCAGGGAACATCAGCAGACCTGCCGTATTCCGCCCATCAGCTCATCAACGCGCACTTACACACACACCGCCGCTCGCCCTCGGCCTCGCGCCTTACACCCTTACCACCACACGCCCGCCCAAAAGATCCTGCGCGCGCCCGTATCAACCTCGCCTATCCTTCGGGATCCGGCGAATCGACTCTTTTTGTCCTTTTTGGTTTCCAAAAAAAAAATTCTGACGGAACCCATTATCCTCTTGGATCTTGGACGACCCTACGTCTAAAAACGTCACACCACCTCCCTTATTTTGCGGTTCACCCGCCCCCCCTCACACCCTTTAACCCCTGTCCATCTTGTTGGCCCATCTTAGCCAGCCAAGATTTACAAAAGAAGACTTGAGGGCCGCAACCGAACATTCCAAGATCCAGCAAGCCCTCGAAATCCGGGGAACGCACCACACAACGCATCCAATCATGCCCCACCGCGTAGCAAACTTCCTGCGGAATTCCACTGAGAACTTCAGTGTTTCTGCCATTGCAAACCTCAAGACTAAGACCAAGCAACACCAACAACATCACCAACCCCGTCACAACAACGTCCAGGACGAAGGCTTGTTGCGCAGAGTACCTCTCGACCGCCACTCTTCCTACTCCTCCGATGACGGCGAGCACATCCCTTACCACAACATGTTCGCAGCAGATCCCGCAGACCACCTCAAGGAGAAGAAGCACCACCACCACCGCCTCTCTCTGCCTTTTGGCCGCTCTAACAAGGACTCGCACGACAACTCCCACGCAGGCCTCAACTTGAAGATCGAGAGCCCGCCCATCGTCTTCTTTGGTGATGCCGAGTCCTCCTCCGGCGCCCTCGTCTCGGGCCAGATGCAGCTCGAGGTCAAGGACGAGCAGCTGCAGGTCGAGGCCTTTGGCGCCAAACTCAACATCCACGTCCAACAGAAGCGCCCCTTCACCAACCACTGCGGCGAGTGCACCAACCAGTACACCGAGCTGAAGCGCTGGACGTTCCTCACGCACCCCACCACGCTTAAGAAGGGCGTTCACCAGTTCCCCTTCTCCATCCTCCTCGAGGGCCACCTCCCCGCGTCCATGGACACGCCCATCACCTCCATCGCCTACGAGTTCAAGGCTGAGGCCACCCTCGTCAAGGGCACGCCCGGCTCCCAGACGCCAATCAAGTTTGAGCAGAACTTCGACGTCAAGCGCTCCCTCCCCCAGCCCGAGTTCCCGCACCACTCGGTCCGCGTCTTCCCCCCCACCAACATCAAGGCCAGCGCCCACTACAACCAGGTGATCCACCCGGCCGGCACCCACAACGTCTCCTTCCGCCTCGACGGCCTCACCAGCGCAAACGCCACCAACAAGACGGTCGAGTTCTGGAAGCTCAAGAAGGTTACGTGGAAGCTCGAGGAGACCATCAAGACCGTGGCCCCAGCCTGCGAGAAGCACGCCCCGGTCCCCGGCAACACCAACAACACCACGCAGCCTCAGCAAAAGGGCGTGGCCCGCACCGAGACCCGCGTCCTCGGCGAGAAGTACATGCACGACGGCTGGAAGTCAGACTACACCAGCACCGACGGCCACGTCGAGTTCGAGTTCGACTACGGCGTCGTCGCCAGCAAGCACAGCCACGGCCCGCGATACGCCTGCGACATGAAGTCGAGCGACGGCACCGAGGTCTCCCACGCACTCATGATCGAGATGGTTGTCTCCAAGGAGTGGGCGCCCGTCGGCAAGCCCCACCTCGCGACGCAGACGGGCACCGGACGCATCTTGAGGATGCACTACCACGTGATGCTCACCGAGTGCCCCGGTCTCGGCGTCAGCTGGGATAATGAGGCGCCGCCCGTCTACCAGGACGTTCCCCCCTCGCCGCCCGCGTACCCCGACGAAGCGGCTCCCGTCGACTACATGAGCCTTGAGCACCTCGATGGCCAAGCACACAACGGCCTAGCGCATAGCCGGGAGGGATCCGTTACCGGCGGTTCTACCACATCATGACACCACCACTAGAGGATGAGAGTCATGAAGATTAATCAACACAAAAAAAAACACTTACCATAATTCAAGAGACGGGATGAAAGGGAAAACAAAAAGTTTTTGCATTTAGGATTTGCTTTTTTTCAACCGCATTATACCCCCTGGTTTACGAACCGGGCGCTTGTTTTCTTATAGGACTATAACTTTTTTTGGCGGGAAAAACATTGTCACAACTCAATTGGATTTACTATTGACTTTTGAAGAGATGCATGGCATTGAGTGAAATGACCATGAGAAAGTGTTCTGCATTGCGAGGCGTTTTACGGGGACTTTGAGAACAGAGCTGATGGAAGAGGCACATCATCGATGATGCCAAGGTTCCCGTCATTTTGGCTTCTCAGTAGCTAGCTCAAAGACGAAACATACAATTGAAGCAAGAATTTAATACACAAATCACTACAAAACTCCTTTGCAACTCCCTTTCATCTTTCAACGTGACTTGTTGGAACTGACTTTGCGAATGACTTAGTTACTTAGACCAGATGCTTTGAGCGCGCTTCAGCGGCAAAATGTGCCGCTGTATTTCTACTCAGTGGATATAGAGACAACTTCAAACAGAATTTGCCCCTCACCAACGAAACCACAGACTATGCGACCCACGACGCGTGGGATGGTAACATGTGAAATCCCCTTCGAGTCACGACCCTTGATAATTATAGGCTATTGGCAGGTACTTGTCCGATGTGTACACTACTTCCTTGCGGCTCATCCCACGTTTTCTGTCGCTAGTTTTGTTTTCGCATTGGGTTTACCCGCTGCGGGTGCTGCAAGACTCACTCGAATGCAAGGTTTTTTGGGACGGGGATGTCCCGAGCTTGAGGCTATTGAGTTAATCTTAGCCAACAATTACTTGACGAAAACTACTAGTTGGGCCTGTTGGGGTGGTAAGTTGGAGAAATTTTGGGACGGGAATCTGAATTTCAGAGAGTCTAGAACGCCGCGCCGACGAACGGCGAATATCCTTGGCGAGCGGTTGATCTGAGCTTTAGAGTGATTTAATGAAGGGTCTGTTCGGGACATGGAGTACCGGGGCGGTAGCACTTGTGAGTATCGTGAGTTTACGGTCTATAGAGTTGAGTTGCGGCTTGCCGGGTGTGAATTCGCTGCTCTGAGTTTCCTAAACTTGCTCACTCGCACGCATAGTATTACTACATAGGCATGCGGGGGACAGTTTAGACCGCCGCTCACGAAGAAGCACCATCAATCAACATACCTCTACCATATCCTAAGAAAAAGTCATTAAATAATACCAAAATGTTCAAAAAAAAATTTACCCAAGTCATTTCTCTACACTTTCGTATTTTTTTAATAAGTACTTAGAGGGCTTTTTGGGCGGAAAATAATCGATGATACATAGAGAAAGGGCGCCTGAAAAGGGCGATCTAAACTGTCCCCCGCGTGATAGGCAGTCGAAACGGAAAGTAATTCCCTGCTCGGCATGTTTCCCCGGAGCAGCAGTGCCACGTCGCTTGGAAGGGCAGCTCACGCCCGCCCCGTGTTTGATGGCGCCATAATAGTCTCGAAATGGATGATTCAACTCCCAAGTTCATCTCACGATAGTGCGGTGTGCGGAGGAGCTCTTAAGCGCACCCCGGTGGACGGTGGGCGGTGGGCGGTTTCCCGTGCGCTGTGTGATGTGAACCGGTGTAGGGTGCAGGAGAAGGGGGTGATGTGTAACCGGCGCACCGGCCCGGGTGTGTCGTGGCCAGCCCGCCCACGCACCTTCGGATGTCAATCCGGTAGGTAGCGGGCAGGAGGCGGGCTCAAAAGTCAATCATCAGTGTTGGCTTGGTGCCTTTTCTATGAGTCAAGCCAGGCCTAAAGTCATGCGAGAGCCGTGTCAGAAGGACGGTGTGCGAACATCGGAGCCGGCCCGTTTTGGGATGGTTCATAGGGCGTCTCGCAAGATGCGAATGTGCGAAAGGAGCCGTAGGAGCCTAGGAGGTAGAGCCCGAGAGAGCGCGCTCCAGGGCTTATCGGGATCGGTGACACCCGGATCCAGAGGAGGGGAGGGAGGAGGGGTGTGTTGGAGGGCGCCCCCGGGGTGGCAGAGGCAAGTTGCGGACGACGGAAGAGGTGGTTTTTCTTACGTGATTGATGGGGCTGGCCGGAGGCGCTCCCGGAAGGCAGGATCACTTGCCCAGGGGCGGGCCTGACAGTGACACGCCTGGCTGGACTTGCAAACACCAACCTTGAAGGGCGAAGAACGGACGGGCAGGACCAAGGCGTGCTCGGCGTGCTATCATCTGGCCGGCGGCACTGAGCGATGAATATCGGCGCGCTTGGTGGAGCTCCGAGCCTGCTCAGAGTGTATCGTTCATGTTCTGAGGTCTCATGAGCATCTGGCAGATTCCATGTTTCTACTTCGTATCTACTTCCTGGTTGCTCCTCCGTGTAAGACGGAGGAGTGGAGGCTCGTCACAGTTTCGGCGTCTATGCGTGCCTACCTGTGCTGTTACGCTTGCTTCATATTCCTTGGAACCGGTCGTCAGCACTCAAGGTACCGTAGAAGAAAGAATTTTGCTGAAGAATTTTCTCTCATTCATTCTTGAAGCTTGCCTCGAACCGACGCCCACATCGAACCCGCTTGCCCCATCACTAGGTCCAACACTTTCTGTGAGTTTTTCTCCAACCGCGCCAGACCCCATTCTCCGATGGATCGCCACTGGGGGGTCTCTGAATTTTGGGTTTTCCTTGGGTGTGCTTTTGTGTGCCTTGATGTGAGCAGCGGGTGCGGGACGCTTACAGAAAGAAGAAATTTGCATGCAAACACTAAAAAAATCAGACGGAGCATTGATCCCAGTAGCGAATCATTGCGTCAGGGCTCCACCAGCCGGCGAACGACGTGTGTCCTTGCAAAATTCGCGTTTGCTTTGATGTGCGCCACCCTGGGCAAGGCGAGTCAGGGAGCGCTTTTTTGCGCGACCCCGCTGGCTGGGGAAAGATGGATGCGTTTCTGGCCGAGAATATCATCCCAGCATCTGGCCGGCTGGCGCAATGGTAGCGCATCAGACTTCTATCTTCTCGTCCTTCGAGATGTGGGTATCTGGGGGTTGTGGGTTCGAGCCCCACGTTGGTCATTACTTTTGATTGTTTTTGCATCTCTTGCCTCTTTCTTGCCTCTTAAAACGAAAGAGAAACATACTCTTTACTGTTTTGCCATTGTCGATTTGATTGGGCTTTGTTTCGAGTAAGATAAAGCGCATTGGAGTCGAAATATGTCCTGATACCACGGTTGGTGCCCAATAACGATGAAATATTTGCTCGATACTTCTTCTTACTACATCCGTCCAGAACTAAAGCAACAATAGTTTATTTTAATCTTGCATATACTGGATCATCTCAGAGTCTCACATGCAAGCCGCGTGGACTTACCCTCAAGGCCTCAAGTATGTATCTGTGTGACAGTAATACAAGCGATGTAACTGAAGGCTGGCCCCTGCTGTCAGCAACACCCGAGGGCCAGGGGCTTTAACGTACCGTCCACTAAGACCTCGCTTGTCTTTCCCATAATTACTCAGTTAGAACTCAAGTCAACACTTGTACTAAAAGCTCACCACATAATCTCACGTCCCCCGTGCCGCACGTCTATTATTTCACTGTGCTAGTACCGAACTGGTTTTCAGCTCAAATCACCTGCAAGTTAGTTGCTGACCTGATTGGTGCTTGTAGTTTTTCACGACAATATTGCTTGCTTACTGTACGTTAGCGCTGCAGCTCGACGTACGTCTCCAGGAGGAGGTTTACTGCACTGCAGTTAGAAACGTGAGGCTGTTACGATAATGCAATGAACCATCGATGATTAGACGTGGCGGAGTCAATTGCAAATTTGATGCAGCTGATGATAACGGAATCATATGCTGCATGCGTCAATGGGCCCGAAGAAGAGCATACTTAAGAAGCTGGAAGAGAATGCTCAAATTTGCTCTCGAATGCACGATGACTCGAATGTTCAACCGAAGTTGAGGGAACGGAAATAGAGAAAGAAGCCCCCATTCAAGATGCTAACAAGCAAGTTAGACGAAAGCCCAATAATATGGTTTCCTGTGGCTTGTTTTCTGGTCCTATTCCTTGTCCGCAAGGTTCTCTGGCCGACGGTCCTAGACTTGCAAGAGCCCCCTACTCTGCGGCCAAAGATACCTCTCATAGGTCATTTGATTGATCTAATTCAGATGGGATACAAACAGCATGTCAAGAACCAGTAAGTCTTGACTCTTAAGCCATCCAGCCCGAAAGTTTAGCAAATGATCAAGCTGGACGAGCGACTAAGGTGCAACTTGATAGTGGGCTGACAAGTTACTAGTGAGAAGTTCAATATGACGGCATACTCGCTGCCCATCCTTGGAAGCAAGCTTTACATAGCATCTTCACCGCAATTGGCATCATCAATCTTCCAGAAACGGACGCTTAGCTTCGAGCCCCTAATTGACACCTTTGTGCGAACTTTGGTAGGCATGGAAGGCCATGGGTTGGAGTTGTGGACGAACCCGGAGTTTCGTACCGCCATCTTTAAAGTTCTCTACAAAGGACTTACAGGGCCTTCCTTGAATGATTTAACGATATCGGGGGTCAGTAATGTAGCTAGTTCTCTCAACAGAATGCCGCTCGACCAGCTCGAATTGAAAGACTTTCATTGTTGGACATGAGACAGAGTATCAAGGGCCATAATGGGGGGCTTCTATGGGAAGTTGAGTCCTTGGGAAGACAGTGCTGTGATGCGGAGCTTTTGGTAAGTAGGCGCCTCCTACGCTTCTACGTCATCATCACGTCTGGTGTATGTTCCCTCACTGAAGCTATGCTGATACTCAACATGCAGGGTCTATCATGATGACATGCACAAACTCTTCCCCGGAGTTGCCCCCTCTGTCATCGCCTCCAAAGAATTCAAAGCGAGAACCGAGGTCATTGCAGCGTTGGAGTCATACATCAGACATGAAGAGAACTTTGGCGCCGAAGTCCCTCTATTTACTAGGGACAGATTCGCCGCAGAACGGAAGTTTGGAATGTCCATCCATAACAGCGCCAAAATTGAGATTCTTCTAGCTACGGCTCTCGCCAATATTTCTACGCTAGTCTTCTGGCTTCTGTCAAATATCTATAGTCAGCCAGATCTTTTGGCCAAGATTCGACACGAGCTTCTCAGTGCAGCGGTTACCGAGAACCAAACTGATGAGAACGGGGTCGAGATGACGCTTCATCTAGGGAAAATCAAGGAGCATTGCCCTCTACTGCTGTCGTGCGCGCAAGAGACAGAGCGGTGCAACATTGTTGACAACATTACCCGAACGGTCATGACAGACACGACAATATCAAACGGCGACCGCTCGTACCTCCTCAAGAAAGGGAACAACGTCCAGATGCCGCTTAGTATTCTCCATAGCGATGCGAAAGTATGGGACGACGAACCTGAAAGTTGGCAAGGCGACCGATTTCTGAACTTGGGCTACAATACGTCGTCACCACCTGGTTTTCTCCCCTTTGGAGGGGGCAAGCATATTTGGTATGTGGATGGTTTCTCTTTGGTGGATGAGCCATACTGACCGTTCATGTGATAGCCCCGGCCGTCATCTTGCAAATGGACTTCTTCTAGGCATTGCTGCGCAATCGATACTCAAAGTTGACCTCAAGGGGATGGACGGCGGCCCTATTCGGATGCCAAAAGCAAAGGTGCCCTGGGCAACGACTGGCATAGGGAGGCCAGAGCCCGGGCCGGAATTAAGGGTTAGAATCAGTAGGCGGGAGGACTCGGGGCATGTGAAATGGTCTGTTGTGTATTGAGATGCACAGTTGCCAAAGCCTATGGATGACACTCTGGTTTGCTCTCAGGTGAGCGAGGTCTACATGTAAGCATGGCGACACTGAGTACGTGTACCCACATGCGGATAGAAACTGTTGGTTCACGGGGTCGTATACGACAAATAGTGGTAGCAATTATCACTCGTCTGTTGGTGATCCTATTGCTTGTTCTTCTTGTTGTTGTTCTATCTTACATTGTAGGCAGGAGTCGGTCGAAGTAGGTAGTGACGGCCTGGGTGGTTGCCCCACCTTTATCCGGCCGTGATGACTAAGCCAGTTGTCCCACTTCGCCCAGGGCAGGTGCCAGCCAGCCCATGGTACCTGCCTATTACTCCTTATCAGCCTTTGCTGTTCCAACAGAAACAATGCGTCTTTTCATGCTTTACCGATCTATGTCGATACGGATTCTCTGCACCAGTTCTTAGTGATATGAACTAGCAGGGCTCTTGGATGATCTGCTGTCATTGGTACTCGTAGCTACATGTATCAAGACCTTGCGGGGTCGTTAGGGTAAGGTAGTCGGAATGATTGCGTCCCCGCTGTGGATACGCACAACAGCAATCGGTCCATTTGCTCATTGCTAGCCTGGTAAATTCAACAACATCCGATATGGTGTAGTGGCCAACATGATGCCCTCTCATCCTGCGAGAGGTTAGGCATAGCCCCGAGTTCGATTCTCGGTTTCGGAAAACGTTAGCGCCCGCCTAGGTGGGATTGATTTCCTTTTGACTTTTTGCGATGGCAGCAATATCTTGTCTTTCCATCCAACCCGGTTTTCTCCCCATAACTTTACCCGTCACTTGCCTAGCTCGATTGACCGAACTCTCTAGTCATCTGGAAGTCGTATATGACACGATGTGCCCATTATTAGTAGCAAGTGTCTTACCTTGTCGTGCCTGTGATTACGAAGCTCAAGTTCAAGACGCATTCACTCTGTACTGTTTGACATTCTACTGTTTGGCGTAAATCAGAACGCCGCTGATGGTGTGCTGGCAAATCGGGCAAATGATCTAAACGCCGTGCGCTGTGCTGACTCTTCCGTCGCCGAGCGATGCATACCCCGCGGGAATAGAGCATGTCATTCGGGACGGCAGCAATTCGGATCGCGGAATGTCGGCGATTGGAAATCAAGGGGCCCCACAATCGATGCCGAGCCCGGGTGTGGGTCACGGACACTGCGAGAAACGGCTTAGAAATACTGAATGACTAATGGTGCCACTGCTGCGGGTTGCGTGGTGATGCAATCATCCAGTCGTCTCATTCGTGCCTCACCTACGCCCTTCGAGCGCTGCTTTTAAACTCACATCCCCCGGTCCCCCGCACGGCGTTGTGTATTTCAACATCAGCCCTGCAATTTGACATTGTCTGAAAGTATTATTATGAACACAATCTTACGTCGATTCCCAATTCTCACATTTGTCAAACCCAGTCTTAGAAACACCATCGTTCCCCGCATCATCCACAGCAGATCCCTCGCAACAATGACCACCGGCAACTTCCGCTATCTGGACCCGGCGACTCTGTACGACAGCAAGCCCTGGGCCAAGGTCGACACGGATGTAACCTCCTTCAGCCGGCTCGAGCGCCGCCGCTCCGTAGTCAACATCCGCGAGTCGGCGGAAGAGTTCGGCACCGACGTTTCCGGGTTCGCCGTGTACAACTCCCCGGCCAAAGAGAAGGACTTCACCGACGATAACGCGGTGAGGAGCGGCTACTATGCTGAAGTTGAGTCCCTCTTGCGGGATAAGCTGCCCGGCGTGAAGAAGGTTGTGACTTTCGACCACACGATTCGGAGGAGGGAGAAGAACAGCCCCAGACAGCCGGTGCAGCAGGTGCATGTTGACCAGACGCCCGGTGCGGCAGAAGCTCGCGTGAGAAGGCATGTTCCGGGGAGCGAGGCGGATGAGCTGGTCAAGGGGCGGTACCAGATTATCAACGTCTGGAGACCGATTGGGCACCCGGCGAGTGATTTCCCGCTTGCGGTGATTGACTGGCGGACGACGGAGCCCAAGGATCTGATCGCTGTGGATTTGCTTTACCCCAGACGGACGGATACCGAAGACGACGATCGGGGCAAGGAAGTGCTTCCCGATCCGGCTTTGGCGCGGTCGACGGTGAATTACGATGTCAAGGGTGAGTACAGCCTGGCCGATTCTATAAGAAATGTGTTTCTTTGCTAAAACCATTTAGGCGAGACTTTTTCTGTTGCACCAAGCGACAAGCACAAGCTGTACTACGCCAAAGATATGACCCCTGATGAAGCCATGTTCATCAAGTGCTTCGACTCGAGGAGCCAGGGCCAGCCTGGCGGCAAGCCGGGACGGGCCGATTACACGCCTCACACGGCCTTCATTGACCCCAATACCCCCGCAGATGCGAAGGGAAGACAAAGCATAGAGGTTAGATGCTTGGTGTTTTATGAGTAGAGACTTTTTATCGGAGCACGGACATTCTTGCCGTTGTACCTCCTGTAGGTAGATTACTTATAGGTCATTTACAGGACTCAGGGTATCTAGGTCAGGAGAGATAAGTTGTTATGAGCCATGAAAATTACATGTACAAGTCAAATGAAGCTAAGCAATGCATTATCTAGAAAAACCATGCAGATGGTATGATGATTGATATTGACTTTGAGATTATGGAGATTATCTAGCGAGCGTGGGTGTGTGCATATGCCATAAGAATGACAAGGGGTATCTAAGTATGCTGGTTGCATATGTACAGCGAACGGCGTAGTTGCAGGAGCAGCAACAAGACGATATTCGATATGGGTTCAGGGGCCCAACTGATGAAGGGCTAGATTAAGTGGAACGGTAGACGGCAACATAGGCGGTCTCCATCATGCTTCCCCAGCCGCCAATGGTAGAGCCATCCGGGTTTCCGGGCTGTAAACAGTCAGTCAAACGGTCTTTATACGAAATCTACAAAGGCATCGACTTACCCAGTTACCTCCGACGGCAACATTTAAAATGAAAAACAACGGCGCGCGTGCCAGAGTATTCCAGATACCCTCACTCCCGATTCTAGCACCGCTAATCTGATGAAACTGCTGCCCGTCACGGAACCATGTAATCGTCTCCGTCTGCCAGTTGCCGGACCGACGATCAATCTGCAGACGCCACGTGTGCCATCCCTGGTCCGGGATACCAATGTTCCCGCCGATGCCGTTGGGCTCGTTGCACGCACCGCCGGGGAGGATATCGCAGTGAACAGTGCCGTACCCCGTCAGCTGCCCGTTGACAGTCTCAAGAATGTCGAGCTCGCCGCAGCGAGGCCAGCTGACGCCGTTGCGGATGGCGTCGCCGAGGATCCAGAAGGCGGGCCAGATGCCCTTCTTGTTGGCGATGGCGTTGTCGCCGAAGCGGATCTGGGCCTCGGCGACGGTGAGGCGGCCGGCGGCGGGGGTGAAGACGTAGCGAGACTCTATGCGGCCCGAGGTCCAGGCGCCGTTGCCGTCCTTTTGGGGCACGATTTGGACGGTGCCGCCGCCTGAGATTTGGAGGTTAGAGCGGGAGGTTGCGTATTCCTGGATCTCGTTGTTGACGTGGAGGTTGGTGATGATGTTCCAGTTACCGGTGTTGATGGGGTCGCCTGAGGCGCCGGGGAAGCTGTCTTGCCAGAGGCGGGTGAGGCCGGAGTAGTTGGGAGAGTCCCAGGCCCGGGTGGCGGCTGGGAGGAGGAGGAGGAGGTTTGACAGGATGGACTTTGAGTACATTGTTGCGATGATGCAAAGCTCTTGGAGCTAAGGAACGTAGTTGGTGTTCTAGATGTCTGGTTTGCAAAGTGACTTCAAGGAGTGAATAGAGTTTGAAGCAAACTACTTATCCAAAGTGAAACTGAAAGGACTGTGATGAAGAAGGTTTATAAGAGAAGAGAGACTGTAGCTATTCGGAAAGGAAAGGCATGTCTTGGGGAGGGGCACTAGATCACGATGGTGGATGTTGTCGTCGGGGTGTGGTTGCACGAGGAGCGGGTTGAAGGACCATGAGGACAGGACGGGAAGCATTCATCATGGGACTTACTGTATATATACAATAGGGGAAAGCCCAAGTGTGAGCATGCAGATGTAACATTGAACGATGCGTGCCGCGTTGGCCAAGGACCAAGGGTCTCTTCTGCCCAGCCCTTGCAACAAAGAAGGGCGGCAGGGCCACATCAACGGCGGGAGCAACCCGCATGTTGAATCTAGAACCTGCATCTGCACAGCGTAGTGTTACTGAACCGAAGTCACCGCTGCCCGGTGGGCTACGGGGAGGCGAGTTGTCCCTTTTTTCTTTCCTGTTTAATGAAAAGAGTCCCTGGGTCTCAGAGCTGCGTCCAATCTTCAGCAGAGAACGGAGGTCTCAAGGAGGGTGGATGGTAGTCTGGTTCATATATGCTTACCCCCTGTGCTCTCTCCGTCGTCTAGTGTTGCACAGGGTAGGGAAAGTCGGACTTGGGTGTCCGGTCTAGAATATCAGATGGCACATGTACGTCCCGCTACTCACATCAAAGACCGTGCCCCAAGCCCACGAGAATGGGTGCACCACGCGGTGTAAGAGCGATGGACGGAGGAAGCGTGCTCCTCTGAGACATAGTCCGCCGCGGGACACACATCCACAGCCTCGGTGGCTCCAATATCTCGGACGGTGGTGTCCCCCTTGCGCTCAAGTGTGCACGATCACGGCCCGGCCAGTCTGTAAATCGCGGTTGGCACGGCCAATATTCCGAGATGAGGCGGGCGCATAAGCGGAGCGCAGAGACTTGTGGCTGGCTTGACAAACGTGCATACATGTAGTTTGGGGAGAAAAGAAAGATTAAGGCTCCTTAAGGGTGGCCAATAGAAGTCAAGAAGGACCAACTGTACCGAGTATGTCCCTGTTCTAGGAAACACCGGGAGGACTGGGGTGGCTTTTTACCACCTGGCCCCCTCTCGGGAGAGGCTTCGTTTCATCTCGGGCATCTGCCAATCGGTGACGGGAGATGGCAAGGCTTTAAAATGTGCCCCGCGGACGGAGAGGAGGGGGCCACGGGGATGTAAAGGGATCGGTACCAGCGGCGCGGCCCCAAGGCGTTTCTTGCGGTTGTGGTTGGTTGTGGGCTCGACATACTGACCATGGCGACGGCCACGCGGGAAGTGGCATTCGGCCGCCCTCCCTGATCCATGGCAGAGGAGACCCTCAGGAACCCGCAGATGATTTCAAGGTCTGGGCCTGCTTCGCTTCTGCAGACCTTTGCAATTGTCATATTGACTCCCTTCTCGTCTACGGTCTTGGGGTCTTGGAGGTGGATCCGTCGCCAAGCGGGATATCGTTTTCGTCACGTCCAGTGATTTTGCAGAAGGACCCCAAGACTCACGGAGAGACATCAGGCGAGAGATATTGGTGACCTTTGTGCGACGGGCCCAGCGAGGACATATGGGAATGGCGGTACCTGAACGCCACCGCGCTAGCGGCAGTTGTGCAAATCAGTCTAGTAAGCTGCAAGATCTAGACACCTGCACTGCGAACATTAGTTGTTGCCCCCCTTTTACTTCTTGTCGTGTTCGGCGCGATAGACCAAGTGCTTGGTGTTGGAAAGGTGACGTTGCAGGCTCCAAAAGACTGCACGAGGTAGCAAATGTGGACAGCTGCGCTTTTGACAGGCTCAGTGTCTTAGCCAGTCACTCTTCCTCTTGGGAAAAGGGGGAAAGATGGGGTTCTTGGGCATAACCCTCTATGCACCTGACATTACTTGTGTCCAAACAAGGCCAGTTTCAGGGAACACATCAATCAGCCAGCCCGAAGAGTTCTTCTCTGACTGGCTATTCGTCCACATTGGGGGATTAAAAGGGCATGTGAAAAAGGCTCGATGGCACCTTGCCAACACGGCTTTAGTGCGGGTGAGGCGCCTAAGCCAAGGCAAATAACTCCCTAGGTTGGATGTGATTCGGAGTCTGATTGGTTGGGGTTAAAAGTGCAAGGGGGGACCGTGATCCTGAAGGTGAAATCTCTTTTGGTGTGGGGGTGAGTGTGCGGATTGGACTGGACGAGTGCGTGGCATCGACATAGGGTTGCAATAGAAGAAAAAAAAAAGGGATGGAAGAATCTGACGATTGAGAAAATTCAGACAAAGCGCGTCATGGGAAAAGCCTCATGATTCATGTAGTCGACTTCTCATTACCAAAGAGCATCTTGCTTCATGACAGTGCATGTCAGCAGCTCCCGGTCACTGGGCCGGCACCTGGTGGACCTCCCGACCCGTAAGCCGGCACTAACCCCACAATTCCCCGCGGTCTTGAGATTCGGCACTGGCGGCATCAATTCGGCGCGATCGTCTCAGTAAGCTGGTCATGCGACCAGGTCACGTTCTCAAGGTGATAGAGAGGTAGACCAAAAGTGCGTGAAACACCTCTTTGCTTATCCCAACTCTGGCCTTGACTGCAGTGGGCGCACAACTTTTTTGTCGCAGAACAAAAAAGTTGTCACTCTCCCCAATTTTTTCCTTGATCACGGGACTGCTCACCATGTCTAGACGTAATTATTCAATATGGGTTTGCAAGCCTCAACATGTCTCGTTCATGTTCACTTGCTTACTGGGAATAAGATAGGGTGAGTGGCATGGGATGAGTCTTGCGGCATGATGCCTGCTTAGAGACATAACTTCAGACAAAGGTTAGTGGTTCAATTGTCTGGAGTAAATATTTCGAATCTGGATGATAAATGAAAATCTTCAACGTCAAAAGAAACCGTTGTGAATATTAGAGAGTTGAGTTGATAGAATTGAAAGTCCTTCACAAGGCATCTTGCCTTGGAGCCTGAGTAAGTCGGCCCCGCTTATTCGGCTCCGAGACGGCCGACTTGGGCTGGCTTGGTTCTGCTTTGGGAGTCTGACACTTCCAGTTTTGTGGCATATTAATTTAAGGTGTTGCGAGCCTTTCAAGAAGCTTTCTCTTGAAATTTAGATAAACTAGACGGTCCTTCTTCCTCCAGATGCCAGATCGGAGTTACATGTATTCCAATCTACTAACTTGAACAGAGATAACTAGAGGAAAAAGCAATAATAGTCGGCTAAAGCCCGGAAATTACGTCTCCGTGTCAACCTACCTAGGAGGAAAACAGGGGAACGCCAGATTCGGTTTTTCATCTTTCGCAAGGCAACTTTGAAATTAACACTCAAAGCAATCAGTATCTGCAACACACGTACAGCCAGAACCCAGTCAAAGAAGAACGTTTGGCGATTTATTCTTAACCCAAAATGGCAGACGGTCAGGCGCCTAGCATATTGCCGAAGGTCGAGAAAAGCATCTTCTCGTTCTCCGCGGCCAAACCCGGCAATGGCACAACCCAACCAACTCGTGGAACTTCCAAAATTACCAAAGAGTCCGCAGCCCCCGCTGCCGGAGCTCGTCATCTTTGATGAACGCGGCGATTTATACTTGCACGTCGGCACCCCACCAGTGCCGCTCCGGGTATGTTCAAGATCGCTAGCCCGGGCCTGTCCAGTCTTCGCCAAAATGCTCTACGGCGCATGGAAGGAGTCCCGTCCACAAATTGCAGACAAGAAGACAGAAACTGGAAGCGCCACCGAAGGCGAAGCAAGCGAAGGCGAAGCAGCTGAGAAGAAAAAGGCAAAAGACTGGATCATTGAGTTGCCAGAGGACGGGATCGAGGAGGTGAAGCCGCTTCGAAAAGGTGCCGTTCAGTCTGGAAATCAACAGGCTTCATAACTTTCTCGTCCTCTGTAACGAATACGACACACTGTCTCTTCTGCGACCCTGGGAAATGCATTGGCTGAATGCGGTGCGCATGAAGATGGACGAGCCATATGTACTCTGGATCGCCTGGGAAATGGGCGATACCTTGTTGTACCGCGACATGGTTGTCCAAATAGCCGAAGGCGTGTCATTTCAGTCTCTCGATAACGAAAACTCTGAAAGGGCGGTGCAGTTTGGACCCTCACGGACACACTGGACACCTGGACATCGCTATGCGACTCATATTCCGATGATTCCCCTCGACTTTTTCAGGGGCGTGAGCGAAGATAAATTTTCAGGTAATACGCTGGCTCTCTCTACCTCAACACTATTTGCACAGCAAAGACATAACTATGTCTTTGTCCGGAGAGACTTCATGCTAATACATTTCACGCAATGCTAGAAACCATCTCTCGTGCTCGGATACTGATGATAGAATCTACCGTCAGACCGTATTGCCGTATTCTGTCACAGATGAGAATCAAAGCCAACCCTTTGACCCAAAATCCATCAGCACGACTGAAGGATAATTGTATGAAATTCTGCATTCCAACCGGCGTCGGTTCCTTGGTTATTGCCGGCATCACAGACTCTTTCAACATATGGGACTCACAGCTGCCTGTTACATTTTCTGGGAAGGTTAAGCAGATTGTGGACCATCTGGCTGCAATCAAGATACAAAACTCGGCTTGCGCCAACTGCCAGAAAATGTTCCAGGATGAGTTAGCGAATGCACGCAGCGTAACAGCAGTAGCCATCAAGTGCCTAGCTCCCCTCAGCCAAAGCCAACAAGAGCGACTCGACAAACGGGGTACGCAACTTGCACTGGGACTGGAGAACGTGGTGGATAAGGGCATGCTGCACATGTATTACTTGTAGGTACATGTACTTTTTCGTTACGTGGTGTTATTCCTTCTCTCTGGAACAACAGACGTCTCTTTTGCGGAATTAAAGGGGTTTGTATCATGTTGAACTTTTTATTACGTGTAGGATGGATTATGTAGGCCTCAGAACAGCCGATGTGTTTCTCATTTTCGTGTTTTGTACATGTAATCTTCACAGGGGAAGGCTCATGTACTTACATGTGCTAGCCCCTACAAACCTAGTGCCCCTGAAGGCGTCGCTCGGGTCCGAGTCTTTTGACACTTCCTCACTCCAGAACGTTCAATTTCATAGAGTATCATTCAATCTTTCAAAGGTCTTGCAGATCAGCATTTAGGCTTGGCCAAGGCAGGCCCATCTCCTCCTCAGTGTCTCCAAGGCTCAATGCCTCATTTACCATTTCAAGTCATTCAGCCCATTCTAGGTAAACAGGTTTGGGATGATTACTTAAACATAATGCTTCCTACTTTTTTCTACCTTACTGTTGGATCTCTGAGCAGTCGGCAGAAAGGGTGGATCTGGAAGGTGGTATGGGCACTTACAAATGGCCCTTTCACTTACTTACCACTTCTGAGAGATCGTGGGCTCTGCCCACAACCTCCTCCTTCCACCTCCATACGCAGCAATAATAGATCATTGTTGACCCTTCGTTCCAACCGTACGGTTGCCCTGCTGACGTGTATACCAACACTTACCATTATTTTCCGTTGTATCTGCCTCCTCGGAGAGGGTACCTTTCCTTCTTCCCCATCTCTTCGACTATCTTCATCTTTACGTAAGGCGTTTCTTTGGTACCTCGAGACACGGTCAGCGGTTCAGCACCTCAATGGAACAGTAATTACTTAATAGAGGATTTTCGAGATACTAAGCGGGATCCTCCGGCTAAGTGTGGACTCGATGGGATGGTCTGCCTCAAGAACTCTGGATAGATTGATACTGTCGGAAGTGCGAATGCTACAAATGCAACGACAATCATCGACTACGGCGACTTGATCCTTGTCACAGAGTCCATAGAGTCATTCGCTGATTGATACACATCGATTATGAAGTACAGGCCGGGATCGTTCCGAAATACTGTCGGTCAAGTGGGACCCACCATGGGTGATGCTCAGCGGTTGCCTCACCAAGGCCACGTGGTCTCGGTGAGACATCAAGGACTTGATACTATCACGACAATTCTCAACGTCAATACTTCTCCCATCGCGTGTCACGTATTTTTCAGGATATTCACTTTATAGAAGAAAATCATTAGCGCGACATACAAAAAAGACGAATAGGATGAAAATCAAAAGGTCAAAAAGGCAAAAGAGTTCACCCCCACGGTGCTGGACTGGGGGTTACATCTCTTGGTGCTCATGCTGGGATTCGAACTCGGTCGCTAAGCCTGTCGTCGAGTAGGCTGGTTGGCGAAGATAATTGGTGTTGACCATTAACCATTCCACCACCACGCCACAGTTTGACCTGACCCCAGGCCTAGGGGGCGCCTGCTGTGCTGGTGACAGGAATTGGGTTGGAGGGGTATATGAGGACTTGTTGTGTATTCAGGTAGTAAACAAAGGTCATCGGATGAAAAGTTTGTGATGTGGCTGGGTAAACCTGAGGAAGGTGCGACGTTGGTGATGTGGATGGTGGCTGCCCTAGCAACCGTTGCGGATTGTTCACCTGAATTACCTCAGCCTTGTACTCGACGCTATGCGCCGCAGTCTAAGAGTCTTGGGACAGCGACTGGAGATGGGGAGAAAATTTGAGAAGCCTGCCACCACCGTACATCGCCATGAACACCTTGACCATGAAGTTGCAAGACACTAATATAACCCTTTGGACCCATCAATGTCGCGAGCACGTTCCTACCCCTTATGACAGCGAAGGATTACAATGGCTTAAGAGCGAGTGGTAAACTCACTTTTCAGAGCTATCGACAACAATGATCTCTATATGCATGCTTCGTGGATATTAATTTTTGACAATAATGATGCACTCATGATAGCTAGATAGCACACATTTCCCACAACTAAATACAAATTATCAACATCTGAACTCTACGGTACCATTGTACCATGGGTGAACTCCTCCCATCAATGTGTTGTCCGTTCAGTGTCGTGCTATGGACTCTTCTGAAGTATTGACCACTGCCGTCACTTCAGCATTTGTTGTCTTCCCGCTAGCGTCTGCAGGAGCATCGACATAGCTGCCTCCATGGCTGCTACCGCTTTCGAGTTGCGCATGTTTCGCTTTCCTGTTATGCACATGTGAGATTGTCCATTCTCCTGAAGTTGTGGAGCAAGACCTACTCTTTGCGTTTGATATAAACATCGAGAACGTGCGTCGCAACGATAAGCGCAACAGCACACCCCAGACAGAATGAGAATCCTTTAGGATAGCTTGGAGACTCGACAGTCGGGAACGTCAACAGTGGTGTCCAGGCTGTTGATGACTGGGCAATAATGGTGATCATGACGAGGGTGAATGATCGCTGTTCCGGAGAGTCTCTGAGGATGGTGTTGACCCAGCCATGCAGGACGCTGGAAAGCGCGTTGGACCAATACATCGTCGAGAAGGCGAACCACTTGGCACCCTCGGGTACGTCCCAGACCACGAGCATAATCAGGCCTGTGACATTCCATAGCGAGGAAAAGGTAATGGCCCACGCGGGACCAAGTACCAAGTCAGACAGGAAGCACGCCACAATGTTGTAGAGGATTCCCAAAGCTGGCGCAATGGTCCCCATCTCATTGACCTGTGCCGGACTGTAGCGACCCAGGCTCTTGATCCACAGCAGGAAGCTTCCCGTGCTCTTATGGATACCAGCGTTCCAAAACAGCACATCGACAAGCACAACAGTCCAGAACTGAGGGCTAAGGAAGATCTGCTTGAGATGTCCGAGCTTGAACTTGCCGCGGGTGACATGCCCACCGCGCTCGAGGCGCGACTTTGCAATCTTGATATCGTGGTCGTTGAGGATCCAGCGGTTCGGTTGCTCTACAGTCCCCGGGAGGAGAAAGTATCCAAGAACACCGACGGGGACAGTGATGATTGCGCAGATGATATACATCCAGCGCCAGCCTGCCATTCCGTTGACGCCTTCGAGGCGGTGCGATGCTCCGGCTGCGATGAGGCCTGCTGTTAGGGTGCCGAGATTGAGTCCGGTGTAGAAGATGCCGCCTCGTCGTGCGATTTCGTGTCCGCGATACCAGGAGCCTGTGTCGAGGTCAGCTTTTGATGTTCCCTCAACAAAAGGGCTGACACTGATAGTTCCTACCGAATACGTAGTGCATGGCGGGGAAGAAAGCTGCTTCGAAGAAGCCTACCATAAAGCGGTAAGCCGCCAGCTCCCCAAACGAGTTTGCTCGGTATTGCAGCAGGGTGAAGAGACCCCAAAGGATATCCATTGCGGGTATCGTCCAGTACATGGGAATGTAGGTGAATAAGAACATGAAGGGCACCATGCCAACAACTGCACCGACTGTGTACATCGTCTGGAGTTCAACGAGTTCGTTTCCTTTGAAGCCGAGCTCCTCCTTCATACCCCCGACGTAGGCATTATCTGGTTGGATTAGCATGGCATCAAAAATCGGGGTAGCGATCGTAGACGTACTCAAGTTTGCTTGATCTATTGGAATGTGTTAGCAAGCTGGCGATAGGTAGATGGAAGAAAAAGACTGTTGTCTTACCAATGTACTTGACCCAGTACGCCAGAACTGCGTAGGGAACGACGATGAGGTCGAGTTTGATGATGAGCATGCGCTCTTCAGGGGTGTCATCGTCGGAGTACCACTGGATCTTCCACCATTTCTTCCTGGGGACGGTATTGTCTGCTGTCGCCATAGTTGACAGACACTTGTGAACACCCTTTTTTGTCCAACTATCTTCAAGTTGACTCGAAAGAACTCAAAGAACCAAGTTGAACACTAGAAACTCTATTCCAAGATCATCCAAGTCCCTGGGTCTGGTCGATAAATATTTGCAGAATTGTTGCCGGCTGCAGACCCCCCTGCCTGTCAAAATCCAACCTCACTATCTATTGCGCCAGAGTATCTCGGACTTGTGCCATGCGAATCGACCATAAGCCATACCTGTATTTGAGGGAAGAGTCCCGCCCGCCGAGCATTCCCGGAAGTCGGGGAGCATCCGACAACACCAAACGAACTCTTTTTTCCGGGGGACCTCGTGGTTAGAGTGGCTACATATGAAAAGACCCTACCGGGAGTTGGCCGACATCCTGATTATGGCGCGGGGGTCTACCCAAAGAAAGGGATGCGGGTGGGGCGCGTGGCTGGCATGAGGGTGTGGTGTGTCCAGACTCGATGAGTTTGGCTCAAGCCGGCCTAAAGTCGTATGAAAATTGAGTTGTGCCGATGCCAGCTTGATCTAGGGTGGAAAATAGAGCTGGCAGCTGAGTCTTCCAAAAGATTTCAAGTGATAATAGCGGAGTACCCGCTGCAGTTGTCCCTTGTCTGCGCCGTTGACCGGCAGGCCAATAATGACGTGCTTAATGGTCTCAATGGTGTTAGATGTGAGAGCCCGCGTAATCAAGCCATTGGTCTTACCTTATGATAACAACCCACACCCCGCGCCCCAAGCAAAACCACTTCCGTCTTTTATGTTCTCATTCTGAATTAGTTGAGTCTTCTACTATGCAGCGGAGACACCTTTCCGCAGGATAAAATCAAAAATGACCAGGACTAACTACCTCTAAGAGTGATAGTCGGGTCGATATCTCAACTGAGCTTGGGCAAACAACATTCATCAATGAATACGTGTCAGTGCGATTTTCGTCTGTAATAGCCGAAATTCTTTGAGACTATTGGATGCAATTGAAGTTGAGATAGCAAACCGAAGACAAAGCCGGAGCCTTTCACCGACGGAGTGGAGACCTCGGCCGAGTACGCATTCCCGTTCCACCGGTCCGGGCCGCCTTGATCGACGTTGAAGCCCGGATGACCTTATGATTCTGAGGAGCTAAAATGGAAAGCTTCGTCATGAGAAGTTTCAAACCTTTCTTAGTGTACCACTCTAACGAGCATGCCACTTTTTAGGCAGAGGGAATCACCTTTGCCTCTCTCAACCCATCCAAAACCCCCTTCAAGTTGTCCCAACTATCCTTGTAATCAGTCCATCCGAGCTTGCGCGCCCTGCTCATGCTCTGTACGACATTATAATCTCTTCCCCACGCAAAGCCCGCGAATGCCCAGGAAGCCTTTTCAAGAGCACTGGCATCCAGACCATGCTTCTCAGCCATGGCCTTCCAGACCTGTTGGACCTCTTCTTGTCTTGGCCCATTTCACCAGGTCAATTCTTTGGCGGATGTAACTTTGCGGCAAATTACATGTACCCTCCAGCCCAGCAGTTTTGGCTGCAACTGAGAGAGGAGGCTGGGCTTGCAAGGCTTTCTCTGAAGCCAACGGCGCGGGCCTGGAGAACTGATCGGCTGGGACGGACAATCCAAAGTCTCGAGCGACCTTGGGCCAGAGGTTCATCCATGACTCGGCATCGCCGTTGACGGTGTTGAACGCCTGGTTCGCGGCTTTGGGCTCAAGAGCTGCCCAGTTGCAGAACTGAGCATGGAGTCCGGCATCAGTGAACATGGTGACGTTGGAGTAGAACTCCTCAGCTCCTGGAAAAACGAGCTCGTTGCCAAGCTCCTTGGAGACAGCAGCATATATACCAATCGCGATGGCCAAGTTCATGAAGTTGCCCTTGGCAAAACCGAAGACTTCACCAGAATAGGTTACCACCCACTCGACGCTGTTCCGCCGAGCAAAGTCCTGCAGGATGCGCTGCTGGCGGTAGTCAAAGTTGGGAAGGAACAGTGGTTCTGGAAGCCTTGACACGGGTTAGCGGGGAGAGAGCCATGGACTTAGAGGCCGGGTTTACCAGGGATCAGTTTCTTCCATGGGAATCTTGACACAACCGAGATGGACTCCGTAGTTTTTGGCCCCAGTAACTAGGATAAATCGCTTGATCTTGGTGGCACAGCCATTGATCTCGAGAGCCTTGCAAAATGCTGCCAGCATGTCGCCTAATCTGGTTTAGCGGCGTGGTCTCATACCTAGGTACTTAGTAGACAGGATCGCAGCTCACCATTGACTCTTGTCGCTTCCACTTCGTCATCCTTCTGCATATAAGCAGCGAAGAAGACGTAGTCAGCTTCAAATGTTGAACACGAGCCCCAAATGCGTCTGACCTGGACGTGATAGGGCATAGATCTGGTCCCATCTATCGCCACATTTCGAAAGCTCCTTGAAGATTTCTTGTCCGAGAATACCTGATCCGGTACATGACAATAATCAGAGAAGCTGATCTCGGATACGAGAGAAAATGGAGGGAAACTGACGTGGGGATGGGAAGTTACTCACCTGTCGCACCAGTGACAATTGCGGAAGGCATCTTTTATGGTGATAGCAAGGCAGACGACTAAGTAGTGAGGTCGGTGGGTTGGAACAAGGGAGATTTAATAGACTTCGTGTGGAGGAAGAAGGTGATTGTATATTATTTCATCTTCGCAAACGATTGATGATGCTTCCAGGCCAACTTATATCTGTAACTCCTCAGCTGGACTCCAATGACAAAATATTAACCAGATCGTGCCCGCCAAAGTCCATTAGAAACAAGCGGCAATGTTCCGGTGACGATCTTAGGGCGCAAAGTTTCTCTCCTTGCTTCTTCAAATGCCGACAAAGCCTTGAACCCCGATGTATGCTCTCGAAGGAATGCAGGATTACAAACCAATCAGAGTTCAGACATGGTCGTGGTATGAATATGATATTAGTGATCAGTTTTGCCCTTTTGCTAACGCCGAAGGTTATCTTACGTCACAGTGCTAGAGAGAAGGAAGGCCTACCTTATCCTTCACGCCGTTACTTTACGGCCTGGATTGCCTTCCGATGATTCGGCAGGCGGGGTTGAGCTCGGTAAATACCTAGTATACAAAGCAAAAGGTCAATAACATTAGTTGAAGCTGGGTGGCGGAAGTTGTTTTGACCTTATTGCAGAACACTTAAGTTGCTACATCCTGGCTTGACTCGCTAAATATTAAAGATGATAGTGTAAAGGATGCTGTTGCTAAAGTCGCTAAGGGTCGAGTGAGCACTGCGGACGGCGACGGCGTGCTACAGTAGCTGCTTATGTACTAGATCTTGGACGGGGTCTTCTGGAATAATCCCACGTTACAGAAGTAATAAGTGTTTAGGCTCGTCCTAGATAGCTAATAGGTTATGCCCTAATGGCTTTATAGGCCGTAGATAATTTCTATATATATTCTTTATTATAATCCTCGAGGGTCTTTAGTTATTACGTGACCTCTTACTTGCTTATTATAGCGAGAGTCTTATTGCTAGCGGGCGCCTTAGGGTACTATCCTGTTACGAGCTGGACAAGGCAACCAACTGTGGCACAAAGCAAAAGCTTCGATAATGATGACTCCGGCATCATTGTCCCTTGTTCTGCATTATATAGCTACGCGCCCACAGTGACAAGTTGCGGCGGGCGTAACATATCCTATATTTTCCTTACTATCTTAATAGGTAAGTGTTACGACCCAACATGAAGACCAGGGCGTGCCCCGCTGACGCCTAGCGGCTACGGCGCATCATATATGCAGGACGGGACGGAACATTGGGGAAACCCCAGGAACGGAAGAACTATGGTACAAGTCACGTGATGATAAGAGATATGATAAGGGATAAGGATATGTTGGATATGCGACATATCCAACCGAGTCAAGGATATGTTGGATATTCGACATATCCAACCGAATCAAGGATATGTTGGATATTCGGCATATCCAACATATCCAGACAAAGTGGACTGTACAGCACTGTTCAGTTAGGATCGGACTTGTATATAAGGATGGACTCGAGCTGGGCTCTAGGACAGACTTTCCATAGCTCTTCAGCAATTAACTTCGTATCAGGATTAACATCCGCTTTCAGCTACTACCTTGACAAGACTACGATTGATCACCGAAGCCTTACCTGCCCTTACGATTGACAGACATAGTTTCCTTGAAACTATTCCACGACTACGATTACTGTTACCAGTTCCGCAGCCTCAACTTCTGCAAACTACCCCTACGACTAGCTGGCCGTAACACTTTAATTGCTCCTGTTCAGTAAGTTGACCCTACGAAACTCACTAACAGTAAGAACGACGATGTCTTCCCAAGCCACCCCGTCCACTTCCAACGACTCCAAGGGTAAGGCCCCTATGCCCGCCAAAACCGTGGACGAAGAAATGAAGGACGTCGAAGACTCGGAAGAAGAACTTGACTTCACTCGTAAGGTCTATGAAAACCTACAGAAGAAGATCAAGAAGAACGACTCCGACATCGCCATAATGCAACAGATGTTCAATGACGCTATGGAGCGACTTGAGAACAAGACCAAGGAAGCGGACTACCTTACGGAGAAGGTCAATACTCCCCACGGTACCGCTAACATCATCGCTACGCCGCATGACGGACGAGAGAAGCTCAGGCTCAACTCACCTCAAGCCTTTGACGGAACCCCAGGACAACTGAAGGGATTCCTCACGCAAGTCAGAGCCTACCAACGCTTCCACGGAATGAACTTTAAGGACGAAGCCGAGAAGGTCATCCATGCCGCCTCCTTTTTAAAGGGAAAAGCCCTCGCATGGTTCGAACCACATCTTACCGACTTTATGATAACCAACGACTGGGACACTCTCAAGCCAGAGACCCAAGGTATCTTCGAAGGACTGCACGGATTCGAAAGTGCACTTCTGTCTCTGTTCCAAGAACCAGACGAGGAACGACAACACGAGAGAGAACTCTCCAACCTTCGACAGAAGGGATCAGCCTCGCATTATGCTGCAGATTTCAGACGAATCTGCGCTCGACTTAACTACTCCGACAACGCTAAGATCTTCATGTTCTATGAAGGGCTCAAGGAGGAAGTCAAGGACGAACTGTCTCGACAAGACAGACCCAACGACTTCTTGAAATATGTCGAACTAGCGATCAAGCTTGACAATCGACTTTACGAACGACAAAGGGAAAGGAAACAAGTCCCGCAAACAAACACTGGGAAACGCTATCAACCGCGCTTCCAAGGACAGAACCGCCCTAGAAACAACCATTGGCAGAACCGACAAACCACGGCCTATGGACACCATAGTGGACCGATGGACCTCAGCATGGCCAAACGAGAACAACCGTACCAGAAGGAAGTCTTCAGGTGCTACAACTGCGACAAGCCAGGACACATGTCCCGCAACTGTCAACAACCCAGAAGGATCCAGCAGCGACCTGTGCCCGAGAAACAGATCAGGATCGCTACCAAGGAAATTCCGCATAAGCAACTCTCTTGGACAGCATGCTACGACGACAACTGCCTTACCCATCAAGACAGTAAGGAAAACACGGGATGGTACCCTAAGGAGCCCGCCAGCATCAAGACCCTCGCTATGACAAGCAGGCAAGAGGTCACGCAACGACCGAAGACCCTCGAGGATCATAACAAGGAATGCATTCAGACATTGTCCACGACCTACGAAGCCGTCAGGACACAACCCAGCAGCCATCCGAGACGAGCTCAAACACTCGCAGCAGTCGGAGGAAGACTCCAGAAAAGAATGACTGCGAAGGACAAGAAATCCCTACTTCAACTAGAAGAAGAGATCCCAGCCAGGGAAATACGAATTCCCACCAAGTCCATCTACATGATGCGACAAACCCCGAACAACAAGTTCCAACGCAAGGTCCTCGGGCAGCTCGAAGACCTCGACCGCGAACACAGAATCGAAATCATCAAGGGAAAGAACCTCGATTTCGGAATGGACGAGAACGGAAAAATCGACTTCCGAACAGATAGCCAAGAACCGACCTTCGGCTCTAGCTCACACACACTCGACGAAGGTGAAAATTCACCTTACGATTCGGACGAACCTCGTGACGTCGCTCGCGACGTGCTCAGACGGAGATCGATCACAAGGCACCGCCTAGCGTTGACGACACCAGTTCTGAAGAGGATCTCGACGAACCCCGATGCAAATATATTAATCCAAACTTTCCTATGCAATGCTTGAACAGCGAATACGTAGAATGGGACGACTGCAGACACGACCAGTGCCAGATCCACTACGTACCCAAGGCAAAGGCCTGGAGAGAACATCAAGAACGAATCGAACAAGACGTCAGACTGAGGAACAGAATGACAAAAAACTAGAAACGCCAATCGACAAGAGACACCGAAAGGCGGAGAGCAAGGACAAGCGCCTATGCTCAACAACATGTCTCAACGACGAACATCTGAGAGTGAGACTCCAGATAAACGGACACGATATGCGCGCGATTATCGACAGCGGCGCTCAACGAACCTTCATATCACCAAAGATAGTGAACAAGTTAGACCTTCCATGGGTACAGAAGGAAGAACCTTATACCCTACAGAATGTAGAAGGAGAAAGAGTTGGGTATGACGAAGGACTTGTCACTCGCGAGACCGTACACCTCACGACACACGTCAACAATCATCCAGAACAACTCCAGTACGACATCACGGAGATCGGAGACATCGACGTCATCCTAGGAATCTCGTGGTTACGAAAGCACAATCCACGGATAGATTGGGTGAATGGCCACATCCAATGGACAGATTCAGTCACTGAACGACCTAAGAAACAGGGTTCAAACGAGTCTTACGCAACACCTGACGAACAGACGAAATACATTGCCTACGTCAGACACGTAGAGCCTACCAGGTCGTTAGCACCCGGCACGGACGATCAAGGATCGAACCCACTCCAGACTATACCCGAGGGTACCGGAAGTACAGCAAACTGTTCGTTTCCAAGGAAGGAACAGGACTGCCAGAACACAGCAGCTGGGACATGGAGATCGAACTCAAAGAAGGAATGCAACCAAAGTTCTACCCACTGTACCCTATGAACCAACAAGAGCAGGAAGAGCTTAACGAATATATCGACGAAAAGCTCGCAAAAGGGCACATTAGACCCTCATCATCACCCGCTGGAGCACCACTCTTTTTCGTCCCGAAGAAGGGGAAGAAGAAACTGAGACCTGTAATCGACTACAGAGGACTCAACGCAATTACTAGAAAGAATTGCTACCCCCTACCCCTCATCACAGAGCTTAGAGATCTATTACACGGAGCCCAATGGTTCACCAAGATAGATCTCAAGGAAGCATTCAACCAGATTCGAATCAAGGAAGGAGACGAATGGAAAACAGCATTCCGAACCCGCAGAGGACTCTTCGAGTACCTCGTCATGCCCTTTGGACTCACCAATGCACCCGCCACGTTCCAGACAATGGCAAACCATGTCCTCAGAGAATATGTAGACATCTTCGTTGTCGTCTACATCGACGACGTCCTCATATTCTCCCCGAATATAGACATACATAAGGAACACGTCCATAAGGTATTCCAGAAACTACAGGACGCGAAACTCTTCGCTGAACCTGACAAATGCGAATTCCATACGCAACGAGTCGACTTCCTCGGATACACGATCACACCCGGAGAAATCCACATGCAAGAATCGAAGGTAGAAGCAGTCAAGGACTGGCCTACACCTCAGAACGTCAAGAACGTTCAAGAATTCTTAGGATTCGTCAATTTCTATCGACGATTCCTCAAAGACTATGCCAGCATAGTTAGACCTCTCAACAACCTGACACGAAAGGATACGCCATTTGTATGGGACGACAAATGCGAAGAAGCATTCGTCAAAGTCAAGAACATGGTGGTTTCCGAACCAACCACTATGATCCCAGATCCAAGGACACCATTCGAAGTTGAGACCGATGCCTCAGACTTCGCCATGGGAGCGGTCCTAGGACAACGAGACGAGCAAGGAAAACTTCACCCTTGCGCATTCTACTCCAAAGCATTCCACGGAGCAGAATTGAATTGGCAAATCCACGACAAGGAACTGATGGCCATAATCGAAGCCTTTCGAGAATGGAAGCCACAGTTATCAGGAACCAAGCATGAAGTCACGGTCTACACAGACCACAAGAATCTTGCAAACTTCACAACGAACAAGAACCTAAATAAACGACAAGTTAGATGGAGCGAATTCCTCTCCGAATTCAACTTCCGAATCATCTACAGAAAAGGTTCAGAGAATAGCAGAGCCGACGCTCTCAGCAGAAGACCTGACCACGAAGTCAAGGTCCCCGAGGAAACACTGGTTATCCTCAAACACGACGACGATGGCAACCTTGTACCTACTACGAAGCTCCTTACGATAGCTAGGAAGGTCAATACCAGCCCGACTGGAAGAATGACCCCTGAGCTCATCATGGAAATTCATAGTGCTAAGGCACATGGTCACCAAGGCGTCACAAAGACATGGAAACGAATTCGACAACATTACGACAAGTCTGCCACGCGAGCAGAAGTCGCCGAAGCAATCAAGGATTGCGACATCTGTAAGAAAAGCAAGAACAGCCCCCATAAGCCCTATGGAGAGCTGCAACCGCTTCCGATACCACCCGAAGCATGGCACTCAATCTCATGGGACTTTATCGTCAAACTACCAAAGTCCAGAGAGCCACTCACGAACGTACTGTACGACAGTATCTTGGTTATCGTCGATCGACTTACCAAGTTCGCCTACTTCGTACCATACAAAGAAGCAAGCAATACAGAGGAACTAGCATATACCTTCCTCAAGACTATTGTTGCCAACCACGGTCTACCCAAGGAAATTGTCTCTGACAGAGATAAGCTGTTCACCGCTAAGTTTTGGAGATCCCTGATCTCGCAACTCGGTGCAGACCATAAGCTGTCAACCTCTTTCCACCCGCAGACCGACGGACAGACAGAAAGGATTAATCAAATCCTCGAAACATACCTTCGTTGTTATGTGAACTACGACCAGAATAATTGGGTATCGCTACTACCAATGGCCCAATTCGCATATAATAGCGCAGTTGGCGAGAGCACGAGAGAATCCCCGTTCTATCTTAACTATGGATTCCAGCCAACAGCGTACGGAGAAGCACGACAGGGACCACAGGCCGTGAAAGCCGTGGCCGACGTGACGAAACTCAGAGAGCTCCAGAAGAAGGCTTCTCAGGACCTCGAATTTGTACGGCAGCGTATGAAGAAAAACGCCGACAGATCAAGGATTGGAGGACCAACCTTAGAAGAGGGGGATAGCGCCTATCTCCTTCGACGCAACATCAAAACGAAACGACCAAGCGACAAATTGGACTATAAAAAGCTTGGACCCTTTGAGATCATCAAGAAAGTCTCACCAGTCAATTACGAATCGAGACTACCAGACACAATGAAGTGTCACCCGGTATTCCACATCTCACTCCTCGAGCCAGCACCACGAGGCTCGCACACGAACGATTACATCGTTGTGGAATCAAATCAACCAGAGTATGAAGTCGAACGAATCATCGACCACAGAGTCAGGAACGAGACACGAGAATTCTTGATTAAATGGAAAAACTACGGACACGAGGAAAATACATGGGAACCCATTACGAATCTCCAGAACTCCCGGCAACTCCTCGAGGACTACCGGAAGTCGGCACTAACGAACCCGAATCCAATAAACCAAACTCAGCCAACAAGGACGGAGACAAAACGACGTCGGGATAAACCGTATCCCACTCCCCGATAAAGTCCGCAGGAAGACGATCGGAACCAGCGGAAGGAGGACGCACCCCCTCTTGTCGATGCTGCTCCGCCACCGCCTCCTCCTTTTCGACACGCTCCAACTCCTCCACACTGTCGATACCACGACGCACCGCGCGCATCATTTTTTCAAACCACACCTTCTTTTGCTTTCGAAGACGCTCCACCTTAGCATCTAAAGTACGGCGCTGCTCTTCGGCCTGCTCTAGAGCATCCTCTAGCTTCTGGTGTTGATCACCAATTCGACGAAGCTGTTGAGAAGATAAACCCTAGAGATCGCAATAAGACTTCCCACCGCGTACGCATTCAGCGCACCGAGAAGAATCAGAAAGCGAAGCCTCACACGAGGAAAAACCCCGAATCTCGCAGGAAGAACAAACAGGCATGATGGTCCGATTGCCTAAGATGAGACTTAAAAGAGAATTCCGTTGTTCAGTCTTCTTTGCAGGACGAACTTCAGGCGACGATACGGCCTTTCGTTTTTGAACGTAACCTGACATTACGAGTCAATATGAACAAAGAAGCAAGCTTGCAGATTCCCCAACCTGGGAACAACTACTTACTTATATTGGCCTTGAGGACAAGACCTTTGAGGGGAGAGCTGATGTTACGACCCAACATGAAGACCAGGGCGTGCCCCGCTGACGCCTAGCGGCTACGGCGCATCATATATGCAGGACGGGACGGAACATTGGGGAAACCCCAGGAACGGAAGAACTATGGTACAAGTCACGTGATGATAAGAGATATGATAAGGGATAAGGATATGTTGGATATGCGACATATCCAACCGAGTCAAGGATATGTTGGATATTCGACATATCCAACCGAATCAAGGATATGTTGGATATTCGGCATATCCAACATATCCAGACAAAGTGGACTGTACAGCACTGTTCAGTTAGGATCGGACTTGTATATAAGGATGGACTCGAGCTGGGCTCTAGGACAGACTTTCCATAGCTCTTCAGCAATTAACTTCGTATCAGGATTAACATCCGCTTTCAGCTACTACCTTGACAAGACTACGATTGATCACCGAAGCCTTACCTGCCCTTACGATTGACAGACATAGTTTCCTTGAAACTATTCCACGACTACGATTACTGTTACCAGTTCCGCAGCCTCAACTTCTGCAAACTACCCCTACGACTAGCTGGCCGTAACAGTAAGGTAGTTATCGTCATAATATACTATTTAAGAGAGTTATTTATAAGGAATTTCCTTAGTAGCGATTCTAATCTGTTTCTTAGGAATAGGCCGTTATTAAATTCTCTTAAGTAGTCAGTAATTACGGGACATATATCCTAGTTTATTATAATTAAAGTACCTAAAGATTTCCTTCTAGTATAGTTGTTCCAGTGCAGTCTTTCACATGCTCCTTCGCAGGTTATTTAGGGGAGGCAACTCATTGAGAACTATAATTGAAGCTTATTATCGCCTTTTACATCCTCTGTTTCCCCTCCTCCCACCTCCTGTTGAAGTTGAGCAGGTCTCGTCCTCGGATACGGATCTATCTTCATCCCCTCTCATCCTGGCACTTCAGGCTCTTTTGATCCACGTAGATCAGGAAGACGCGGGACTTGAATCTAACGAGGAAAATCTTCAAGCCCGAAGTAGCGAGTCATCTTCACTTGGAGATTATTGAGACTGCTGCATCAGGTGTTTTCCTAGTACAACCGATTCGGGCCTCGAGCTTTCACCCAAACGTTCCGATAAAAGCCGAAGCACCCTTGGCATGTTGCGCGTTAAGTCTATACCGATACCTCCACTGTGGAAACTTCCAAAAGATGGCGGCCCTTGCCAACAAAGGGCTCAATCTTTCGAAACGGATGTTGAAAAGTCACAACGCGTCGGACCTCGGTCAATTCTCAGAGTCCATGCATAGGGCAACGTGGATGAGCGTAAGTTTTTGGGATAGCAAACAACTTCCTTTGGCATGCAAGACTGAAATTGAGTTCGTCAAATCTAGTATCTTTGCCGATGCAACGCCTCGATTGTGAGCTGTGCGGTAAGTGATCATACTGCCCAACAGCTCTGGGTCAACTTGTAAAGGCTGACTTCCAGTCCCGCCAGCCATTCGACGAGCCTATCGATAGCAGCAGTTTCAAGACACCGTACCCTTCCAGTGGAGAGGTGTCAGAGGTAAGCTTGGCCTACAATCACTACTGGGTAGATTTCTTTAGTTCTCTGACCTAATAACCATAGTTATGGGCACAATACATCCGAGCCGAAGAAAGCCTTGTTGCGGCCACTTTGACGCTTGCAGAATTACTCAAAGGGTTTAATTCTGAGGCTACCGCGTCGTCTTCCAACCGGAACATTGGAGCTCAGTTGAATCAACCCAGCTTGGGCCAACCTCAGGCGCCGGAGTTACTAGCGACGGTGGATAATCCTGAGTCCAAACTTGTCATTTGCCTTCGCATCACAACTCGAGCTAGGCTGATGAGGTATGTTTGATCGGAACTAGGAAGAGACACTCAGTACGTCGGACTGACTAATAGACACAGCGCACGTATCAAGCTACACAGGTATCGTGCCTTTATGGACCATCCCCAGATACTAAGGTTTGAATCGATACCCCCTTCGGACACTTCAATTGGCCTGGCACAAGGGCAGGTCATGCATGGTAACAGTGGTATATCTCAGAAGGCTAGCCTGGTGTTTCCTTTCTCAAACAATCATTCGCACGAGATTTGTCTTGAATCTGCTACAGGCATTGCTGCAGAACTCGAAACCCTCGCAGGTATAGGCATTCACAGTAAGTGAAGAGACTTTTGTGTCCGTTTCTTCTCTTACAGAAGACTTATTGACTTTGCTCAGCAACACCAGCGGCATGTTCGGCCAACTTGGCTGGTTTCACCCTGATGATGATATCGCATTTCCAGACCTCGGCGAACGCAGCGGATCATGCCATGTCGTCTTCAGCGATACTCTACGTACAACACAAGTGCAAGACACAGCTGAAGGTAGCGGTAAATGCACTAGACAGATTTTCGAACGCATTCGGCTTCGTAAAGGCTCTCAAAGGTATGGGACTTCCCATGTTTCTACTCACTGTGGTCTGGATCTTTTCCTTACATGCTATGTACTAATTCCTAGAAAAGGTCAGCTTGTGACTGCAGCAGTGGCATGCGATCTTTTTGACACAGATTCAAGCAACTAACAGAGAAGACTTTGAGCATCTCAAGGTCGATCATAATTGCAGACATGGTTTGTGATTCTGTTGGGCTCTATGAACTCCCCTCATTTAGGGTTCACCGCACCACAAGTCACACCATTGCAAATCACGGACAATCCGATTTAAGGCATTGGCAAAGCAACGAGCATGCAGCAGCAGTAGACGATGATAATTGCCCGCAGGGCTTGGGATTTTGGATTCTAGATACACACGCTTTTCTGGAATGTACAAGAATGAAGAATATCTACAAGTAAACAAGCCTACGTTTCGAATGTCCTTTTCACGGAATATAGGGCACGTATGATCTCTCAACTCGGGACAAAAAGCGCCCGGTCAAATCTCGCGATAATTGTTGTTCGCGCTTAGGAGCTCTGGATGTCAGAGGTGGCGTACTTGCAGTAAGTAGAGGGGCCGCTGGAGATCTCGGTGGGCTCGTTGCCGGGGGTGGTGCCCTTGAACTCAGTGCAGACCTCCTTGACGCTCTTGGCGACAATGTTGGTGAAGGTGGCAGTGTCACCGTAGTTGGAGTTGATACCTGTGAGCGACATATTAGCATTGATGTAAACAAGAGAACCAGATCCCAATGAGAAACTTACCAGCAAGGAGCTTTCCAGAGGAGGCGTTGATGTTGTCGAGGATGATGTGACGCTCGTACATGGACTTGCAGTTGCCGCAGCTGCGGTACAGCTTGCCGAAGGTCTCAACGGTGAATCCGCTGACGGAGAGGGTACCGGCACCGTTGTGCTGAAGAACCTTGTCCTCGGCCCCGAAGGCGCCGCCAGAGGTGATGGTGGTGGTCTCGCCGGCATCCTGGTTCTTGATGGTGAAGGCGTCCTCGCAGACGGCAGACCACCAGACGTTTTTGAGAGTGCAGCCACCGTTGCAGTGGACGCCCTCGATCTGGTTGGGTCCGATAATGACGTTGGAGAGCGTAGCGCCCTTCTCGAGGATGAAGACGGCGTCAGAGTCGTCACCTTCAGCCTGGCCAGTGCAGGAGACACCGCGGTCGAAAGCCTTCATGCCACCATCGAAGGAGGCGCCAGCGGCGACAGTCTGGGCGGCCTTGAGGACCGAGGTACCGGAAGAGGCGGGGAGGCCGGCGGCGGCGGTGCCGTTTCTGGCGCGGATTCCGAACTGGCTGTAGGTGCCGTTGCCGGGTGCGCCAGGGGCGGAGGTGATGATGGAGCCGCCGTGACGGGTCTTGGTGGCGTGCTTGGTCTTCTTGGCCGCCTTGGAGGACTTGGTCTTGGTAGGGTTTTCGGCGCGGGCGGCGTGGTGGAGGAAGTCGAAGTAGCCGCGCTCAGCGTGGGCGATGGCGTTGCCCTGAGCGGCGCCGTTGGCCGCGGGGGCGGCGGCGATGCCGAGCACGAGGGTGCTGAGGGCGATGGCGAAAGAGTACTTCATTGTGAATTTGGTTGAATGGGTTGTTGGTGGTGTTGGTGTAAGAGAGGGCGAGGTTGAAGATAGAGAGAGAAAAAGGCTTGTCTACTTGAGAGAATGAAGAAATAGTTCAAGCCTGCTTGAAAGAGTGTAATGAACAAAGAAGTTGGAAAGGTTGATGAGGTGAAAGTAATGAGAACAGAAACAGCTCTTGGCCGGACACCTCGAGGTTACTTATATCAAGTGAGATGTTCGGGGGAGACGAATTCTTTCTGCCCGGGTCCATATCAAAGTCAACCTTGGAGTTACACTACTACCGAACGCCCTCGTGGGCCCAGAGGCTCGTCCAGGCTACTCCGGTAGTGTATTCGAAGAGGCCCAATCCTGCTTCAACCCATGCCAAGACCAGGTGCTCCATCTCCTCCGCAGTGAATACAGCATCAATCAACAAGCGACGCGGAGGAAATGAAAGCGTCGATGCAGGCAGTGAAGATCGCACTAGAGCCACAGAATCCACCAGGTTTCGTAAAGTGGGCTCATGTAGAGCAGAATCTTGTGCTGTTACGCTGTCAACGGCGCCAACGACGTGCGTGTGGGCTTGTCGAGTTTGGGTGGCATTCCATGCTCATGGAGTTGTCATCGGGAGCATCGCAGGAACGGAGCCAACGCCCGAGTTGGGACATGGACTCATCCCAACTTGATTGTCTGCGCGCAGGTCGTTGCCCAAAGAGGGCAGCAGAGACTCGAGTGACAGTCTCTTGTGGCATCGGACAGCTCGACTGGGGACCCCGGGTTCCTGACTAGCCAGGCCCACCCTTTAATTCGATCTTTCTTGGCTGGGAAGCTTGAACACAGACAAATCCCAAGTCTGGAATAAAGTGATCGTCCAGATGCGTGGACTCGAAGAGCCCCTGGCAACTGCTGCTAAGCCACGCGCCCACACCAACATGGAGGCTTCTCGCATTCCTTCTCACCCAAAGTCACCACACACACACCCACACACGGGATTTCTTGCTGCCCACTTCCCCTGTCAGACATCTGGGGGGCCCAACTCCAACATCTCAATGTCGAACTTGCCCCTTGCAGGACGTTTCGAAACAGTCGTGTCCAGCGCCAACTTCTCCAAGGGGGTGACAAGTCAGCCAAGCCAACCACCGCGAAGGCGTCTATCTTGACAACTCCACCATCTCCAGTTTTCCAATGCAGTGCCAAGACTTTCTCAGACGAAAAAACTTCATGATGCCCATAATCCCATATTGCTCTTCCCGTGTCAGGACGCACTGCTGGCGCGGTCGCGCGGGCGAAAGAGCGAGAAAGGAGATGGGCAAGGGCCTTGGCGGGACAGAATGGTCGGTCAATCTACGGAATATTGATGGCGATGACGGTATCCGTACGGATAGAGCAACATGGAGCCTTCCCCTGCTTTTCCATCGCCCGCTGATGTCTGGGCAGGCTATCACCTCGCAGGTCGGTCGCCAAGTACTTTCTGAGTGGTCTCGATGAGTTTTTGTTTGTTCACGTAGCATCAGGCTGGCGCGACGCCGGTCTCTTCGGATCAGACGATATAGAGTCTGCATTATGGAGAATCCCATCTGATATCTGTCTCTGATCGTCAGCCGTACTGGAGATGCATAACAACTTTGTCCTTAGGCTGGCTTCGTATTGAACCGCGGCATTGGTAAATCGTATCATGAAAGCTCGAGAATCAGTGCGTGAGAGAACTATATGTCATCGGATATATGCCAAGGGTGGCCTTGCAAAGACACGCTGCAGGCCAATACCGGTGATGCAGCCGCATATATTGGCCCCTATTATGGGGGGTACGTGATGTGATGGTGAGGCCACAGACCGACTGGACCATTGGGGGGGGGGCGGGCCTGAATCCGTGCGGTCTGCAGAGACGAAAAGAAACCCATTCAAACAGAAAATTCTGAAGCAGCACTCACATTGTAGCTGACAAGGCTGTTGGTACTGATTTTTGGTATGATTATCTTGCCTGCCGGAGGGCGATCGGAGTGTCTCGCCCACCCTTCCGGAGTCCGGACCCTTTGCTGAGCAGAGGGTCATTTACAAGAGACCGGACGTGTGCCGGCCGCTCTGTGCCAGGTGGGGGCCAGCCCAACCTGGTCGACGAATGCTCACGGTTTGCCTCCCGCTTCTGCCACCCAAGGCCGTGGTTTTCTGCCGTGTTTTCTGTTGAGCAGGTTCGGCAGAAGCCTGGTTGTGGCATCCCGCTTGTCGAGGATAAAGATTTTGGGTCGACGTGGTTGCCTCCGCACTGCAACATCAGCCCCCAAATCGTTTTCGGATGCCTAGCAGAATCGAATTCGTCTGATGTGGTGATTCGTGGAATCTCGAATCATCCAAGGGAACGCTGATCACGGAGTGGTCTAGCCTTTGTCAAAGATGTCTTGAACATAGAGCTTTCAATGCCGTCTCGGGGTCACCATGTTGCCACAGCCCAGGATTGCCGCCTTCGTTACTGTTACTGACTAATAGAGGCGGGATAAGGTGCAACATTAATCCTGTGCATCAGGCTTCATGCAACAATTTTTCTGACGGGGTGACGGAGGACCTCCGACACTGTCAAAAAGATTGTATGATTCAGATCTTGAAAGCCGTCACCGTATCTTGACTGTTGTTGACGACTTGTTTGCGCCAGGAAGATTGCGATCACCCTGCAGCTCCCGCGCCCCTGATGCCCCATAGGCCGTGTCGCACTACCCGCCCGAATGTCGCGCGACGAACAAGAATAGAAGCGGTATGGGAAGTTCGGTATCGATCTAATGACGGGATGCTTGGCAGTCTTCTTAGCGGCTCCTCGGATGTTGAAGTTCACCGATTTTGAGCGTGTCGCCGGCTGCAAGGTACGGATTCTCTATCTGATCTATTGCCAATGCATTCCAGGTTCACTCTTTGGGACACTTCGAACCCGTTCATCCTTTCGCAGACGCCAAGTTCAGCAGACTACGCCCGGAGCACATCTCTGCTATCATTGCGTACCTTGGCGCCGAGCCCTTGGAATTCGGAACGAAACATCAGGAGGAAATGGGGGCAGAAGATTCTGTATTTTGCCTGTGCTGCAAAGCTGGCGACTGGGTAACTAGGTTTGCCCTGAGTGCCACTTACCAAATCTCTGTTGGGGCGATTGACTCAAGCTCAGTCTTCCCGAAACTCTGTCACTTAACAGCCAGGAGAACCATTAAGAATTGGTCCTTGGGGCCAAGACTGGTTTGTGCGTACTGCCGTCTCTCGAAACAATAGAAAACTCAATTCGAGTCTTTCAAAGTGTCGAACATGTGGCCAGTCGTCAAAGCTGGGCGAAACTCAATACCAGAGTCAATGCCGCGGGCAGCCTGCACCCGTTTGTAGATCGATCAACTTTCGTGACCGACTGCTGAGGGGCCAATTGGAGATATTCCCGACCATCGCAGCTATTTCTAGTTGAGCGACGATCTTTGGAAAACACATTTTCCGTCATTAACTTGTTTTAACCACTATAGAAAATCGGATACCTAAAGTACTGATCAACGGCTACCTTACCCTGCGACAGCCGCTGCCCAAGTAATATGGGAGGGCATAGGATCCGAACGAAAACGAGATACTCTGTAGTCTCGCATTTGCCCCAACAGCACTCTCATTTCTTGGCAGGGAGCTGTATTCGTACATCTTTAATCCTTTGACGGGATGAACAGTCCAGGCTCTTGAGACCTCTGTCGCTTGCGGTACTGATGAGCCATTTGGCGACCGCGGGAAATGAGAGGGACTAAGCCGAGTCAATTGCGAGTTTGCGAGTTTGCGACTTACGCATCCCCCAATATCCACGTCATCGCCTGACCCCGTCTCGGTCTGACTTGTTTATTACCGCGAACCTTCCTCCGGGCTTCCCGGGCCACTCCGCCGCCGCTCCGTACCAATTCCCTAAGAATCGGTTAATCTGCCTGTCATGCCCCTGCGGATGTCTGCGCCTCTGTTCCGGACAAATTCTGCTCTTCTCCGGATGGGTTTCGGAAATTGTTTGCTGCAGTTGTCGCAAAAGTTACAATTCTAATTACTGCCCGCGATCAACGTCACTGAACAGCTGGTAAATTTATAGAACATAGCCTACGATGCCGCGATTCTCGTACTGCAATCACTGCAACATAGCAACAGCAGGACAGCTCAAATGGCAGATAGAGTATACGGGTGTGACGAAGTCCAAAAAGTCCGAGACGTCGAGTGCATGCATGCATGTATGACCAGAAAACCAAGATTGAGCCACTTGTCGAAGCATTTAGAGTTACTTTGACAAAGTACATGTATTGATGCAACATCTTTCAATGGTCCTGCTCGTCGGGCAGGAGGCGGCATATCTTTATTGATGGACATTGCTTGCTAAGTTGATCCAGGCTTAATATGATGCCTTGGTTATCATCATGCTCGAACAAACTTACCGATGATAACTTCGGACTGGATATCCAACTGATGAAACGAAGGAGGACGTGCAAATTACAGTCAGTTGAGCTAAATAGATAGATATTGGTAAAGTCTTTCAACACCTTACAAGTTCGTCGCGTCATGCAAATACGCAATAACTTGTTTGAGGCTTATCCATTGTTGAAACAACATGAAAGCGCCATCAAAATTCACGCAGCTCGACTGCAAGAGTCTTGTTGCAATCAGAATACAGGACCATTCTAATCCCGTTTTCGCTTCTTTTGAGTTTTTATAATGCTGTTTCAATAGCACTTCTGTTTGCTGAAGCTTCTATTTCGCGATGAGGTGTAGTCAAACGAAGCCAAGGTCCTCAACACCAAGCCGGCTAACGGCCGGTTAGGTCGGCAAACCCGCGATCATGATGGATCACCAGAACCACCATTGTGGAAACAATCCCAGCCTAAGCTTAATCAAAAGTTTATCCCCTCTGTTTTCAATCTTATTTTGACTTGGGGGTTGGTCATTCTGCGCCTTGGCATACATCGTCGCCGTCGCCGCGACTTCGGTAGCGATCTCCGCCCGCTCTCGGAGGATTGGAAGGCGCCATACTATCAGGATCACTCTCGCAGACTCGTACCTCATCAACGAGCACAGAAAGTTTCGGGAGTTCGCCGATTGGCTGTCGAATGATTTTGTTGTGTGACGTGTGTTCCCAACTTGAATGATAGTCGCCGAAGACATTGAAAGTCTTGGCAAAGTCACCGGAGGGGAGCCAGATGTCTTCGGATGGAAAGGCATTGTATGGGATTCCATCGAGTATTAAAACAGCAAACAGTTCTCATTTTACGAACTTTCAAAAGAACCTGTTTCAATAAGTCATCACCGGCCTTCAAATAGAGTCATAACTTCAGCATTTAAACACCATGCATTACCTCCAAACAGCACTCGCCATCATCGCCGCGGCGGGCCCATCCCTCGCAGATAGGGACTTCTCCGTCATCATAGGCACAGGCGCACCTCACGGCATTAGCACCTCAGGCTGGAACTCGGCAATGGAGAATCCCAACTTGACTACCTCATACCGCTTCGACGGCCCAGATGTATCGGCCGCCTTCCCGCCAACCAACGATTCCGCATGGAAGGCGGGCCCCTTTGACCTCAGCATCAACGTCGCCGCGCGAGTCCACACCACTCGCAACGATAAGCGCCAATTACAACAGCTATCATACCGGCTTCGGAGCAGAGATGACGATGATGACGACAATGATGATGACGATAATGACAACAACAGAAACAAGAACAGAAATCGTAACTATTTTACGGGTTCCTCGATAAACCTCAAACAAGTCGATGGACAACAAACCGTCAGCGCAGGCTGGAAGCTTTGCGTTAACATGTTCATACCAAGACTAGACCGGGTGGCTAGAAGCGGATCTCAAGATGACAGCGGCGACTGC